CATTAGACAATCCAAGGAACAATGCTCAATGCGTAAAGACACCCGGGAGTGTGCAGTATGCGGTACAAGAAGGACACATCTACTGATTATCATAATGTATTGACATCATAAGAGAAAGACACTAGCTGAACACGAGCGTCCAGGAGGCATTAATCATCCGGTCTCGCGACAACGTCAAACAGGATTAAAGACACTAATTCTGCGCTGATTGGATGCATCTTGTAGCGATTATCGCCAAAAAACTACTTAACCAGCCGCAGGGACCAAATACTCGCCTTCGGGCTCTACACATACCAAAAACCGCGAATGACGAAAAGACTGTTGAACGTAGTCACGCAGCCTCCATACATTAAAGAAGACATGAACATAAATGTCGGTACTGGTTAATCATCCGATTGTACAGCTAAACCATGTTTTGTGCTGTCTTCTTCAGGTAATATCGAAGCAAATCATTTCCGCAGATTGCTCGATCGAGAAAAATTCCAATGAAATTTTTAAGCCCTGAAGAATACTGCTAAAATAGTTTGAAATATAACCAGAAAAAAATTCGAAGGTTTGATGTGAATGAAACTAGAACAAGATTTAGAATTCTTGGCTCTGGAAATAAATTTAATGATTTAAAATGACAGTTACTTTTTTTGCGTTGGAACGAGTCAACTTCTTGTCCAAATGGTTTGAATTCAGCCTGGTGACGCAAGATGCTTTTGAAACGCTCTTCCGTGCACAACTGATCCGGAAAAAAACGACAGGAGATCATATTATTAACGGAGTCTGCCTTAATTAATCAATCAATAGCAAATATGCAAATATGTTCACAACAGTTCATCGCCAAATTACCTTCATGCCTTTCGCCTGCGAAGGTTCAACCATAGCAGAATAATCAACTTTTAGAAACGTATGCAAGGAGCAAGCGGCATAAAACAATTTCACTGATAGATCCTCATAACCGAATATCGTCTCGCTGAAACAGAGCATACGCAAACTGTCAGCAGCAAAATCCACTCATTCACGAAGCATCTGTGAATTTAGAAATTTTTTTAAAATGTGAACATAGAAAAGAAACAACCGCAGGTCACAAGCCAGGTATGAAATGACGACATGTTAACATGTGATACTTGTGAAGTACTGTGCGTATTATGTCTTTCCGTTGAAGTTATTGAAGCTGCAAATGTTACTACGCAACTTTGTTTTGAAATTTACCTGTCACCGAAGAATTGGTGAGTGAATTCCGGACTGAAATACGTCTCGTCGTCCTCCAAATCGCTTTCATGTCGAACTTCAGAACAGCATTACAGAGCGAAAACTTTAAAAAAACGCACATACTTAGTTTTAGGAATATACTTTCATCAGCAGGAGATATGAATTTCTTTAAGTCTTCCGAAATGAGGTTTAAATCCATACTTTGTTCAACGACTAAAACTACAATCAGACTTGAGCCGACATGATTCAAAAGATCAGCGCAGACAATCGTTTAAGTATTACATTCATCAATTTTTCTTAAAATATTTCCACCTCCTATTAATTTATAGTCAGTTATCAGGTGAGTCAATGCAAATTGCAGCAGTAAAGCACGTGTATGAAATAGCCTGGCCCGATATTTCCTGGCACGGCCACACGTTGTGCTTGAACCCACATTATGTGCAAAGCAACCAACTAGCCGACTCCCACTGTCAAGGCAATTCGTCACTTGTTTGAGTCAAGTTCATCATGTTATCCTCTATGTGACTTGGTTTCATTATGTATGCGCCACAAACGCGTCGATGCTCCTCCAGTATTCCCTGCCTCCACCAATGGCTAAGTAATTTGACTAACGGGCTCTAAGACTAACAATGAGACGATTGTGGTTTGGCAAACACCATTTCGTACTTCTTGACGTCCATCTGTTTTCTCTCATGCTAGCCGCCTGAGAGGCTGATCTGTTGGCACTGTACAAGACACATATCATGTTCGTTAGTTCAGTCGGATTTGTCGAATTTGTGCGCTCGATTTTGTGGCAGATCAACATTCAGAGCAGCATATCACTGCGGATAGGTGGTGAAATAATAAATCAAACTGTCCCTCAACAGTCCACAGAGACATCTCGCTGTCAAGTAACAGCCTTTTAATATGGCTAAAGCTAAACCATGCCGCCTTCATGCTCCTAATTTCTCCGTCGAACGAGTGAAAGCGATTCACCAGACGGCCACGTACACATAACAGGTGATTTCTTAGAGTCCGTCGCCATTAGCATAGTGTTCTCGGGGCAGTGCTCGTTACGCATCCGTTTCGTCTAGGGTAGGTTAACTTCCAAACCGAAAATTACAGATTCTTCCTGCAACTGTTTGACTTCCTGTTGGAGTTCCATCGTGTCCTATGCGAAGGCGATGCAATAGTCCGCAAATAACAAATGCGTTTGCAGTTTTCATTTGCACCAGTTTAGCCAGTTAAAGAGTGACTCCAAAACCGCGGCGAAGAGCGCTGGTAACACGGTATCTCACTGGCACATTCCTCGATGGACACTGATGATGAGTATGGTTCGCTGAACAGGTTTGTTTCATTCGTGCAACCAGTACTCAATGCTTCGATCAAGGTGACGTAAACAGGATTTATACTGTGCTCATGCAAGGGCTAAGCACAGCAGCCAGTTCCACTGAACCCAGCGCCATTTTGTAGTCGATGAAAGTAAAATCATCCAGTCAATCAATCAACTACTGTTCTGCATCGCGCAAGACTCTCGACAGAAGCGGCGGTCAATTTCACTGAACGACGGTAAAGTTCGGTGGGAGCAAAACAGAGTGGCACTTGATATTTGTTTTTCTCTGTCAGATGCTGGATGACATGCATATGATCGACGGTAGAAAACCCTGGACAAAAACAGGCCCGTTACCCACTTGTGATTAGTTCGATGTCCATCCGAATACGGTTGAGAATGACGTGGGTGAAGACTAGATTTGCGATTGGAGTACAATTGGTTGATATTCCTTGAGGTCTCAGGAGTAGTCATTTTCATAAGAAGAATCATTCTAGATGTCTTACACACTTTAGACGTCTTTGTTCTGTCTGATTCTGCATCGCACGCACTTTAAATTGGATTGTTTTCGAATGGACAACTACCATTATTCACGGTTCAGACTGTCCACTCAACTTCGTCCTAGGTGACTTCAAGAACAGTTCCGGGGGCAAAGGGCGGCAACTTCCGGTTTACGTCTACTTTAAAAGAGTACAGGTTATTTAAAGTTTTATGAAGATCGCGTTCATCCGATAGCAATTAGTAGCTCTTTTACTTCCTTCGGCATTCAGCCAACTTGGAATCCACGGTTTAAAGCGAATATCCAGCTCCATAGTTTCCAGGCTTTTCTTCTTCTCCTCGTCATCTCCTGTAATCTTCGTGGTCTTCCTTCAAATTCATTTGCATTTCCTTGCACTTTGCAGTATCGGTGCATGACTTGAGTTAGAAAAAAAATATACGAAAGCGAAACAGAACCTTTTGGACTGAAGCCATGATAAACACCAGCTGCCAAGAAACGGCAACTGCCTGCATAAAGAACCATACGTGGAGGACTGAATCATCGGTCAAATAACAATTGAAACAAGCCATTATATTTAGATCAAATAATTAGTTCCTGTTACATGCGACGGAAACGACACCGACAACGTGAACAGTGACAACCATATTTAAACTAATGACAAAAAATTAACTGAAATTAATAGAGTCAAATGAAATTACATCAACAGCCTAGTAATGGCGAAGTCATGTGTCAACGACTAATGAATCAAAAATAATTCTCAAACTGTCATCCCAACAAAGCGCGCTAAATTCATACAGTAAATGTAAGTGCCGTTCCAGTGTGCAGGTTAGCCTGCTGCTTACATAATTTATTTTATAGAAACTGAAAGATGTGTAATGAAGCTTATTTATGCAAAACGCAAACGAGGAAATTGATCAGTCGGGTAACTGACCAGTACCGACGTTCCAGCTCGTTTTTTACAAACCTTCTTAGGGTATTCCGTGATATTTTCGGCAGTTAGTAGTATGGTCCGCAGCTATTGCGGAGTCAGGAGTCAAGAGTGTGCATTTGACCCATGCTGCTAGTTAAGGAGGTTTTCCTGTCACACGCTTGAAAGGGCTTGCCCAGTCCGCGTAAAGTTTGTATCCTTTGACCCGGTGAACATTTTTATCTCAACTGGAACAGATGGCAAAAATATCGTTAAATATTTCTGTTCAATAACACCATCCGTCCCAGTGAAAATAAACTGCCAATTCTTTTCAGTAGACTCTTTTTGAAATTATGGAGCCATCGATTGAAAAAAAAATAACCCAAGTCTACCGTTTCCCAATACCTTATTAACTAACACAGGTAGTTCTTATAAAGCTTAATTTTATCTCAAACATGCTAACACTGATAAACATCTAAATTTTGACTCACGCAATCACCTCAGTAACAAAATATCTGTAATTACAGCTTTCATAGACACAGCTCTTAAACATGCAGTCATTAATTTTTCAATTAGGACAACCTTGCTTCACAAAAATAATCATCCCGTCAAATTCGTTAATCATGATCTTCGTCTTCCATGGCCACTCTCCTGTCGAGTCGAGGAGGCAGAAGCGACAGGCGGTGCTTCCAACGTTCCTGATCCTGTGTCACAGCAGAGCTTTGGCAGAAAACAATTGCACTCTGAAGCAAATTCCTTTTATGTATTTGCACCATGTCAATCTGGCCGTACTCAGGGCATTACATAAGTAGGTTGGACAAGAAATAGCTGGTTCGATTCCTTTCTGGAGGCTTTCGCATGCCTAAAGCACCGCAGTTGTGACTTCTCAATCTGAAGAAGAAGGGCTGTGTACAAACGCTCTCGAGGATGTCTGTACTACCAACCATGTCAAAACGCGCATGGAAAACGACTTCTCTCAATAAGGCCTTTTCAGCCCCTTGCACGCGGGATTGAAGGTTTTCATTCATGGTACATGACTCATGACCGTAGGTGAGCATGGTGATAAAGATCGACTTGAACACCGAGAATTTAGTCTTCAGATTCATGTTTCCTTGAGTCATAATGGTTCGAGTTAGTTGAAGCAGAACGCCATTGGCTACTACAATTCGCAGGTCGATCAATTCCTCAGATTTTTCATCACCAGTGAACACGACACTGAAATAACTAAGCTTCTACACCTGCTTTACTGCATCGCCGTTAATTTGAAGACAACAACAGACAGAACGACTAGAAAGCACTGGGCTTTTTGTCTTAGATGCGTTCACGCGCATGCCCCACGTCGCATTCCGGTGCGAACCTTTCCAGAGAGCATTGCTTTGTAAATCAGTTTCAGAAAATACCAATACAGCAGGGTCCTCTAGAAACATCAACCTTCTCGTCTACACATTTCCTACACCTATTCATTCATCGCCTTGGCTACTGCTGACTATCATTTACTTTGACGAAACACCTGCTATCAGCATACAGTGATTAAATGGCCCGTAGCAGCTTGCCATCGATCCCGTATGTTCGCAAGCATGTCCACAAATTGTTATGCGGGATCCGGTCATGAGCTTTCTCTAGGTCAGCAAAGCACATGTACACCGGTTGGACAAACTTCCTCACTTTGTCTGAAGTAAGACAAATATATTGTCAAAGGTGCTTTGACCGAGCCGGAAGCCATACTGCTCTGTTTCCAGCCCGTAGTCAGTTATTCCGCAGCACTTCCTTTCCAGCACCTTTACGTCGACTTTTCCCGCGAGGCTCAATAAGATTATGCCCGATAATTTGAACACTCCCTGTGGTATCGGTTCTTGAACAGAGGTGCAAAAACCCCTCGTTCTCCAGTCCGCTTGGATTCTCCCCGTAGCCATGCTGTTTGACAAATACGTGTTAGCCAGCACATGCGTTGTTCGTCTAATGCCTTGAGCATTTCAGGGCGGATTTCATCAATTCCAGAAGCCTTTCCACTTTTCATGCTTTTCACAGCTTGTGCAGCTTCATGTACAGAATTAGTAATATCCATTTCCAGGACGGTGAGTTATGCAGGCGAGTTTTCCTGCTGTTGTTCGGAATTAAAGTGTTCCTCAAGGTACTCTCTCCATCGCCGAAGAATGCCTTTATTCTCGGCAAGAGGGTAAGAGGGTATTCAAACCTGTCCTTCAAGATTTTTAGACTGCCGTTCTTTTCACCTCAAAGCCGACGAATATTCTGCGAGAATGCTTTGTTTGCGGTGAAGAAATTCGACTCCAACTCCTCACCGAATTTCTCCTAGGAATCAGCCTTGGCTATCGTTGCCACCTTGCTTACTTCGATATATCGCACGCAAGTGGAAGACTTTTTGCTTCCGATCCAATTCGTGAATGTAACCACCTTTTCTTTAACGGTCAGTTGCACCTCTCGTA